GGAGCAACACAAGATGTCAACTATCACTCTATCATGTAGGTCTATTACTTCTATTTCATGCTCCCCCACTCCTAGGACTTTGCTATTACCTGGGTGCTGGTTTGGGATGCAGAGAAAATGAAAGCCTAAGGATGCAGCACCAAGTCTGCTGGATCAGTAGGTGTGCAGCTGAGCTGCTTATTGACTTGCCTCTGGGCACTTCTGCCAGTGTTTCAGACTCCATATGGAACTATTTGTGAGAGGGGGATGGTTCAAGGAAGCTTCAAAGAAAACGAGAATGACAACGTTACTGTAGAAAAGAGACAAGGCAGCAACCCCAGAGATGCAAAAGTTTCAACCTGACTGCTATTAATTTTAGCAGCTCGACTAGCAGAGGCTCTTTTTGATGGTCAATACACCGCAGTTTGTAAGAGCTGTCATATGCCAGTCTTCAGTTCTCATGGACAGAGGCTGTACACGTAGTACTGAATAACAACTTTTCACTACAGTGTAGACTAGGCTATGAGCACATAAACCATTCCCTTTTGTGAGGAAACACAGAGAACTGAACCAGCAATTGTTGAGGGCAAAATGTTCTGCAAGTTTGAACAACAGAAGTGTAAGTTAATATAGTTAAACCCCAGAGATCTCAGCACAATCAGGTATAAAGCAGGACAGTAGAAATTAACTTTGATTTCCCACACTTCAGCACTGCTCAAACCAATAAATCTCTTTCCTGGTTTATATGATATACAAAACAACTGAGCAAAACAAAGTTGTGTAAAACTGGAAAGGAAATCACAGCCCAGGTCATACCAGCCACAGATGACTCCAAAGCTAAAGCACCTGTATTTCATCCTCACCATGTCTGCATTGATCACTGTACAAGCTATTGGAAAATACGTTCAAATATGGGTTCTGAGGTATTTTAAATGTAATGACTTCTCTTTAAGAGCTTTGCTCTCTTCTCCAACAGAGGTATGGCCAGAAGTACCTCCATATAATATATATTTTAACCTTGATGCATGATTACCGGAGTATCAACTGCAATAAAATGCTGCAAAGAGAGCACGTAATCAACAAAGAGACCTGACAAGCTAACATTTACAATAAGATCTGGCTTAATTGACAGGTTTTCCTTAAGAATTAAGTCATAATCTAGAGAACCACTGAAACCAAAGCAGTCGGACAGCAAGGCTTCAATCTCACAAAGGTTATCAGACCCAGCAGTTCTGATAGGTAAGATGAATGCATGCTTTATCCTACTCAAACCAGGAGAAATTTAGAGCAAGGATTTGTTGTTTGGCTAAGAAGAGGATGATCTCAACCATATTCATGTCAGAACATGTCAACTGGTTTCTTAATTTACATTAAAGTACATTAATTGGCAGGTACTGGCAAAGCATGTTTCACAAGTCTTCACCAAAAACATACTGTCTCCCCTAGTAGAATTTTATGTGCAACAAAACCATCTTTATTTGAAAAACCTAATCACATCCTCACTGCAAAGGGAACAGTGAGATCTTGCAAGGCAACTTTGACACCCGTTTAATAAAAGCGCTTTGCAAAGATCTTTTTTTCCTCATTTTAACACCAGTTGTGGGCCAATCTTTTTGTCATTGTTACATCAAACCCAAATGTCTCACAATGTAAAACAAGAACAGACATTATCATTGTGATTATCTGTTTCCATCTTGATAAGAGCAATGCTCAGAGAAAACTAGAACCACAAGACAAACGTAGAACAAGACCAGTTCCAAGTCAGTCCTCTTCCACTTGACAGAAAAAACAAGCATCAAAATATTGTATACGAATTACGTGATTAGCCCCTCAAGTTGAAGTTGAAGCAGCAAAGAAATCTGCTTAAATATTATTGAGACATATGGGTTACCTGCAAAAGTTTCTGTAGCCCTTCTATGGCTAAACAGAATAAACAAGTGCTGTAGATCACATCTGAAAACATGTATTAATCACTCCAGCTCATTTGCAGATTCATTCTATACATGGGTATTAGCTGAGTTTCATTTTAGTAACTCCCTGCCCAAGAAGATGATTCTCCTCCCCATCCCACATGGGCAGCTGAGTGGTACTTAATAGTTTAAGCAGAGCCAGCAAAAGCAAGCCCAAATTCACTTTGCTCCTGAACTACCCTTAGCACCAGCCTCAAAAGGTCCATTCCAACTTCAAATTATCTCTTCTACTATACTATCACCCCTTTAGCCTGATTTTGTGAATCTTTATTCATTGATTCCTGCACATTGCCAGTGAAGTGAAGACACTAAAAAAATATTGGGAAGACGTTTTGTCTAGCCAGAAAGTCCTAATACACTTTCCCAAACCATTTAAACGGGAAGACAGCAAGTGTGCAACAGTGACACTGATGAGGAGGAAGGAAACAAGAATCTGTAGCACAGGTGGAATATTAGTGCATATTTATCAATAAGGAAAAGCAATCAAGTTACTGGCAGTCCACACAATATCAGTCACTAAGTACATTTTCACCTTATCAGATAGCTACAACATAGAACCATGTGTCAGCAAGGGAATTTCACAGATGCTTACACTGGGACTTTGCGTTGTAAATAAGACTGCCAGGACATGAAATGTCTGGATAACATGTTTAAGTATCCTCAATATGCAGCCAGAAATAAATTCACAATGACAAGAAAGACCTTGTGATTTCATCCTGATACTCTTGCTACCAAAATACACATCTATATCCTTAACAAAAGCATCAAGATGTGAGAGTAAGAAAACATCCTTCCCACCACTGGTCAACAGAATTACTGTTTCCAATAGTTGCAGTGATGCTTTAGACCCAATGACTACTGCAAACCATCTATAACCCAACAAAATTCACTCCAGGCACAGGCTACGACTGCATGCTGGGTAATAAAATATCTTCTATTTTAACTTAATTTTATGGAGCTACAGACAATATAGATAACCTACTGATCACCTGAATTAAGAGGGGTTTTGCTGATTTATTTCATTGTGAATGTTATTTGGTTGGTTTTGGCTTGTTTTGTCTGTTTGTTCTTAAAACAAACAAGTGTTGTTTCCTGATTTCCTACTTTAAAATTACTGTGTAAGCTTTCCATAATGCCAAGTGCATTCTCTGTAGCAGAACACTATCCCACAATGATTATTTTATGATATTAGTAAAATGGACAGTAAGAAAAAAAATCAATGCACACTTCAAGGGATTGTTAATGTCAGTTTTAAAGCTTTGTTAGGCAAAAGTCCCTAGTATTTACTACATTCATGTCAGAGATAGAAAATAGAGCAAAACCATGTTTCTAGGACCTGCAAGAGCAAAGCTACTTTTTCACTTGCCATCCCCTGGGGTAGCAACTTTCGGTGCTGCCAGTGGGCCCCACCAAAAGAGCTCATTGGGTGATGCGACTAAAGAGAAAGGAGACCTCTGATGGCTGCTGTGATGTTTGCAGCTTCTCTATCCAGAGGATGAAGTGAAGCTGGGAACAGAATTCAGGTGCGAAAAGCTATTTACTGCTAAATTTGAGAGTCTATTTTCTCCCGCATAGTATTAATATGCACTGTGCAGTTTTAGCATTGTCTAGGTAGAAAGAACTAGAATGCTGTAGGTTACACCTTGAAAAACCACACCTTGGGTTGCTTTTTGTAAGGGCCACACAAAAGATGACTGCAACTAAGGCTGGGTGGGGGAATTTCACAAACATGCCTCCACAGTTCTTGCATCTTTAAAAGTCACCTGAAATCACAGTTTACTGTTTACCTACATATTCAGCTCTTACTTCTTCTATGCCTCAATTCCTATCAGGAAAAACAGTAACACCATCTCACCTTATAACAGTACACGCTTGGGTACAATGAGGTGACAAGGATGAAAGGATCCTAGATACTAAGTTCACAATATATGTTAACTTCTTACTTCTTCACTGGCTCAAAATGTAATCTCTATATTCCAGCCACCGGAAGAACAATGTGGTTGAATTCTATGCCCTAATCTGACAACAAAACTCTTCACACTTTGTGAAAATCCTCACATGGCTAACAGTCCTCATCTGTGGAGCTTAGAATTAAAGCAACTAATAGTGTCTGTAACAGCAAAGCTAACAGACAGGAATCAGCATCAGCTGGAGTAAACTATAAGACATTTCCTTTTGACTACATACCCAGCCAACACGGACTTCATTCATGAGTCTGGACAGTTTGTGATCTCAGCTCTTTCAGTCACCAAAGAAGTAACTGAGAGAAACTGCCAACTTTGTTAAAATACTTAGAACATTATGGATTTAATACTTCCCTCTTGTGTTGAGTGATTAAAATTTATTTACAAACCAAAACTTCTTTTGAGATAAAGGCAAGACTCTTGAACTTCTTTTTTAATATAATTTCAATACTATGGTGAAAAAAAGAAACCAATATGCACTGTGATTTCATCAGAAGTATGTTAATATATGAGAGTAGGCAGTACACCTGCATTGAGTGACAGCTTCCATCCCAAGATGTAGAAAGTGGACTTTGACTACATTGGCAGAAATTGGCAGTCTCCACACATGACAAATACCACCTGATCTTTACATGAAAAAGCACTAGTTAAAACCTCAGCTTCTCTCTTCAGGAGGTCTGCTGCAACCCAGGATGACTGGGCATCGTTCACTGTGGATGCTAAAGATCCTATGTTGTATTTCACAACAGCAAATACATTAATATAGTAGGTCTGCCTACTGAAGTGGTCTTCTGCAGCCACAACCATAAGCAATATTCTTACTTCCCTCACCTGATGGGTAATGTAGGACTGATCAACAGCTGCTGTTCAACACATTTAGCTGCACCAGTGATGGGTAGAGACACCACATTGAAAAGTGATGGTGAATGCATATGCTTGGCATAAAGAAAGGGGGTCAAATAAAGTATTAACATGAGTACAACAGATGCTTCTGCATTCCAACAGATTTCACAGCAAGGCAGGTATATGAACCTACACTCCAACCATAAATACAGGAAAATCATTTAAACACAGTACATTGTTTTACCTGTCTTTGCATCTCTTCAATCTGTCGCTGGGGGACACTTTGCAGAATACTGTACATTTCGGGCATCTTTTCTTCAGGGATGACAACAGAGGCCCTATAGGCAAAAAAACCACAGAAAATAAATGGTAAGATAAAAAGAAGTTTCACATTAAAAGATGTCAACTACTTTTCCAATCCATAATCTTATCCCATTCTAATAAGACACATTCAGAAGATATTAGCAGAAAGAAGCAGTCTTCTCTCAGTGTAATTGATTATTCTGTAGCTGTTCCTTGGCAGCACCAGCCAGTCTGCCCACAGATAATGCCACAAAAGCCTTGGACTGATCTGCACAGACAAGTTGATAAATACGGAAGGGACAGATATGCAGAAATCCTCATTTCTCATCTCTGGATTGCCACTGCCTTGCTGTCAGCTGAGATTTTTGAAGTGACTAAGGAGTAATACACATACAAAGAGTCATATAAAGCATATACAGTGCTATGTATGCAAACTAGTAACTTCTGTACATATTATCCCAAGATCATGCAACTGGGCGTAATGCATGCCTGGAAAAATAATCTAAGCTCTTAACACAGTGTACTCAGCTACAGAATAATTATACCTTTCAGTCCCAGATGAACTTAGAAATCATGATACTATACAGTGAATTTAGCTTTTAAGTGATGCATACACCTTCCTTAAAAGAGCCTGAATGCAGACCAGTTCTCACTGAATTCAAGCACAAGATAACAAAGCAAGTCTGTTTTAGAAAACATATGATCAGCTACAAGATAATCAAACACTCTGTCAGCTCTGCCTCACTTGTTTTCGATGCATAATATATCAAGGGCAAAGACTGCATGTATCTTAGCCTGTATTCTACTCCCTGTAGTGCCCAGTACACTTGACTTATCATACAGATCTTATTCAAATCACTGAATGCAATGAAGTCTCTTATGCAGGGATTCAAAGTACAACAGTGAGGGTACAAACCTCTTCCAGTCCAGAACCTCAGAGAAAGGTAAAATGTAGGAGTCTGCAACGATCACTGGGACACAGCCAGCTTGAAGAACATCGCTCAGCACAGCCTGTCCCAGGCGGGCGCCACGTAGAACAACACAGAACGTAGATTCCTGTCAACAAATGGTATCCAACACACAGATGAGGATAAAAAGGGAAATGTTAGATTTGTATTTCCATTCTATGCTTTGTTTTAATGGACAAACTACAGAATTCTAAACTGAGAAGAAAAATAAGTTAAATTTTGAAAGTTTGGCATAACAGGATGAGCAACAATCAACATGCACTTACTGGGTACAAACTGTATGAAGCCAACCTGATTTTCTTCCATCACAGGGCAACCCATCTCCGCAAACAGTAGAAAAGCAATAGATTTCACATCTCGACTTCAAAAGGCATTTGACATTTTTGATAGTACTTTCATAAGCAAATAAAGAAATCATGGGCTAGATAAAGCCCTCACAGTATTTACAGTTACATAAATTGTAGTTACAGAAAGAACTCTAAGTATAAAGCAGTTTGCAGTGGCTCACAGGTAAAACAGTGATGGACCAAATAAGCTTTCCTACGTGCAACAATATTCCATGTGTTCCTTAGTTACCTGAGTAGCAGAATTAGGACCATAGTTATTAGACCTTTCAATACTTAAAATTTGGTAGGATTAGCAAGAATAATGGTTTACGGGATTAGAGTTTGACATTATATGGATAAATTGACTAAAAAAATAGCCATAGGGTTCAACACTTAGATAAAAATAACCAACTGCATAAACATAAAGCATGAAGTAACTGGCTAAGTTTTGCACTTTGCAGAAGAAGACATTTCCTAAGGATGGGAAAAGAAAGAGTATTCACATGTCAGCAATGTTGCACTGTTTTAAAACCAAACCACTCCACCCACAGGTTGTATTAGAATCAAAAAGAAGTACAACTGAAGAAACCTGAAGGAATCACTCACTTTACTCAGTAATAAAAGACCTCAGACACAGCAGTGTGTTCAACCCTGGGCAATCACTTCCAGGGGTAAAAAAGAAGCATGATTACTTACCTTGAAAGTATGATCTACAAGGAAAGATTGACTATATCAGTGCAACTTATTGTGATGAAGTGAGGGCAGAAGGAAGATGGCGAAACAGAGCTTCAAAGATATAAAAAGCTGTTGCAAAAAGGAAGAATATAATCCTCTTACTCATGTCCACAACACACAAGGCAAAAAGCCATGAGTTTGAACTGCAGCAAACAAGACTTCTTGTCTACACTGCACTCACCCTGTAAACGGGGACTTTAGTTCTCAATGCCACTGAGGAATCTTTCTACAGATTGCAAAATAAATGCTTGTGGAGTTCAGCTACACAAACAAGGAAAAAGCCCAAGTCAGTGTTATCCCTAAATCTAAGAAAGAAAAATTATAAAGTTGATAGAGGGGCTCCCACAGATAAGAAAACATCTCTCCAGCTTGTGTTCTGTGGCCTGAGGAAAAGGAGCCAGAAGGCTCAGCAGGGCAGCAAAACATCAAAATGGAAGTAGGAAACACAAGGGGGTTTGCTGGCTCTTCACTTGTTTCCTAAAGCAGTCGTTAAGACCTGTGTTCATACTCATAAAGTACTAAAAGCCTTGAAAAACTCCTCCAAGAGAAGACTGCAAACAGGAAGCATTAGCAACCCAGAAGCCCAAGAGCCTGTCTAGTAGGAAACCTATAAAGGCAGTGCTGGAAAGGATGAACTGTGATTGCAATCCCCCTTCCCCCATTCTCAGACAGGAAGAGAAGGAAAAGAAGAGCGCAGGGAATGGAAAGAGCAGAGAGAAAGAACACACATTTTAACCATTGACTCACTGGATCACACAGCAGCAGGTGGAAGAAACCCTAGTACGGCCTGGGAGAGAAAAAAAACAAAGCAGCCCAGATGTGGACACACATGCTCATCTGCCCAGATAACCATTTTTCCTGTCTAGACAAAGGTTACTATAAATACATCTCCTTGCATCACCACTGTTATCAGCCAGACATTCCGAAGGGAGATGGAGGGCTCTGCAAAGGAAAGTATTTTAACAATCTCTGCATGTGCCAGCTCTCTTCCGAGTTATAAAATCATATATAGCAAGATATAGATATAAATTCCCCGATTTGCTACCCTTGAGTAATCCAGTCTGTACTTAAATAAAGCAAACAAGAGTGGGTTTTTTTTTCCCTTTGGCTGAAAGTTTAGGACTCAGGGTGACACCCCTCCTCCACAAGGAATTTTAAACATATTTCCTACAAAACATAACAGGAGGGGTGGAAACTTTGCCTTTCCTCTGCTTGTTTGTTGTTTTATCATCATTTGCTTAAGTTCAAAGACACATTATATGCTGGTGGCCACAGACAGAGCACAGTGGCCTGTGGCACAGCTCACTTCACCACACTGCATGCCAAAGCACCTCTGTGTCCATGCATCGCCAAGAGACACAGGGGGCTGAGAACGGTATCTAGTTTTATCTTCACTGACACATCAAAAGGCCTCTGGAAGTTGGGCCAAGGCCATGAAACACATTTCACCTAGATGTTTTCATAGCTGCATGCTGACAAGTCTTCTAGCTCAGTCTGTCACATCTATACAGATCATTTTGGAGGGTTTAACTATTAAGCTGCATACAGAAAATAAAATCTGTCAAAACTCCTTAAGTGGAGGACTCTTCTTTTGCCTCCAGATAAATCCTCACATAACTCCATTTTAATCTTCCCCACAATTGATAAAGCCATCCTCTGCTCCAAGCTTTATCTAGCAAGGCTGGGACTGTCATATGTGAGGAATCAGCTTTAAATTCATGCTTGCTGAAGGTCACTTTACCAGTTATTCTCTGGAAAGTGTAGATTCCAATGTTCTTCCCCAATTTTGAAGTGAGCGATAACTGTCTGGCCTCCAAAACTTTCTCCTCTCGCTGCTGCTGGATTTGGCAGTATCTTTGTATCATTTTTTAAGTTTACATGACATTATCATGTGTTACTAGAAGACCACCATGACCCATCTCATGAAGTTGTGATACATAAGCAGTGTTTTCAAACTGCAGCACAGCTTAAGTACAGAGTCCTTGGGTTCTCTTAAAAATAAGAATGAAGTTAGGATATAATATCCAAGCTAACATAATGAATTACGCAGTTTCAAAACATAGCCAGCAAGTCAACCCAAATCAAGGAAGTACCCTATCAATGCTAAATGGGATCATCTAGAGACAGCTACAGGTTGTGCAGAGAAGTGATTCAGAGCAGCCCTGCAAAGAAAGATTTGGAGGTGTTGGTTGATGAGAAATTTAACATGAGCCAGCAGTGAGCGCTCACAGCCCAGAAAGCCAACCATATCCTGGGCTGCATCAAGAGGAGCGTGACCAGCAGGTCGAAGGAGGTGATCCTGCCCCTCTACTCTGCTCTCATGAGATCCCACTTGGAGCACTGTGTGCAGTTCTGGTGTACACAACATAAAAAGGACAGGGAGCCGGTGGAGCAAGTCCAGAGGAGGCCACGAGGATGATCAGTGGCTGAAGCATCTCCTGTGTGAAGACAGGCTGAGAAAGTTGGGGCTGTTCAGCCTGGAGAAGAGAAGACTCTCTGGAGACCTCACAGCTTCCAGTATCTGAAGGGGGCTACAATGATGCTGAGAGGGACTTTGCATCAGGGGCTGTCGTGACAGGACAAGGGGTGATGGGATCAAACTGAAACAGGGGAAGTTCAGGTTAGATATAAGGAAGAAGTTCTTTACTGTGAGAGTGCTGAGGCACTGGAATGGGTTGCCCAAAGGAGTGGTAAATGATCCATCCCTGGCACTGTTCAAGGCCAGACTGGACAGAGCCTTGGGTGACATGGTTTAGTGTGAGGTGTCCCTGCCCATGGCAGGGAGGTTGGAACTGGATGATCTTAAGGTCCTTTCCAAGCCAAACCGTTCTATGATTCTATAATTCTAAGACAATCACCAAGTGGAAGAGAAGTTTGAAGGAGAGGCAACCTCACCTGAAGCACTTGAGGATAATCAAAGACTTGATTCTTGTGACAGCGTTTGCGAACAGCAGGGACCCCATCGGACAGATTTGTACACTTGTCTAGGATCAACACTGATTCCCCATTCTCAGCTTGAAGTGCTTCCAGCTCAGACCGGTACTCTGGGTGCAGGGACATTTGAGATGACAGGATGAAATACCTGCGAGGACTGAAAAAACACAGCAGGGTTACCTGACAGCACTGGGAGTTTGCTTCCAAGATGCTCTAGAACACATTTCCTTCCATCCTGGAAAAGCAGAGCAAGATTAACTAGATGTAGACACACTGCCAAGACCATGTAATATTCAAGACAAGGCTGGAAAGAGTAATAATGTAATATAATTAAATCTTGGATAGTAAGTGGCTCAGCATAACTTACAACTTTGAATACTTGGAAGCAGCGCTTATTACATTAGAACAGGCATTTGCATTGTAACCTCTATTACAAATGGAAAGAAACATGATTTAGCTATGTATTAAAACAGCTTGTCATTGATGCCAGGACTGTTTATTCTTTCATTTGGTGTTTGTGTACTGTAACAAAATAGATGGGACACTGAATGCTGCTGCTACTTTCTCCTCCCACATATTTTTTTATCAATTTTAAGTGAAAAAAGAAGATACTGAACTGACAGCTCACCTACCCTACGCTTATATAGTCTTGATACAGTGACAGCAGTAACAGGACAAGCTCATCTCATTAGCTGTGATTCAGTTCTGTCCCTTTTAAGCAACATTTCCAGGACAAAGCTGAAGACCCATTATCCCATTCACACTCAACTCCTACCATATTCCAAACCCATGAATATTTAAGATGTGCCTTAATACTGAAGAGTTTCAAGACCTAATTAATGCTGGAGGTAAAACACACAGGAATACAGCCTCAAATTAGGTACTCAATGCTTTAAAAAGTTATGTTAAAGCTAGAAAACAGCATTTCATGTAATATCTACTCATTCTCATCTACTTTCCTTTCCCTTTTAAACAGGACGGACTGCTCCACTGCTCCTCCCTGAAAGGAACACACAGCGAGTGCCTGCCCTCACGCTGCCAAAAGAACACAGGAAACACGAAGCCTGCACTTAGGATTCCAGTTCTACTCCACGTGATGCTATCTTTAATTTACAGCTCTGAAAACACACATACAAACACACATTTCATAAAGTCAGACCTCTCCTGCTGCTCTTCTCACCTCTTCTACTCATTTTCATGCTGGTCACTTTAGTTGCTCCAATTAACAGATGAGACATTCTTTTTAGCAAGCCTCCAGCTGCTACCAACTTGCTACCAGCAGCTCTACTGAATATATATTTCCAGCAGAGGTGGAATTAAAATGTTTTAAACAATCCAACTAAAAAGGAGAGTAAATCAAAACCCCCCAGTTCAGCTCTGTAAGGGGAATAAAAAAGGATTTGCCTTAAAAACAAAGGAACTACTGCTGCAGATGAGTGATAATAAATGCCTGTAACCAGCTACAAATTATGCAGGTTTGTGCCATGTTTAAAGCCAAATTTTTCCTTAAAACAACCATCATCCTATGATGCTCCAAAATTGTTATATCAAATCTTGCTACAAAAGTACATCCCAGCTCCCAGGAAATAACACATTGGTGTAGTGGAATGTAAGAATTCATCCCAAGCAAGCCTGAATTCTGAGCATCATCCCCTTGTCATACTCCTGCATAAAGCGAGCACCATCCCCTTGTCGTACGCCTGCATAAAACAATCGAACTCGTGAATGTGTTTCAATTAGTAATGCTAACTGGCCACTAGATGGTAGTCCGGAGACAACAGTCTGTTCCACACACACAAGAACCACCACCTTTGAGGAATACGGAAGCTCCAGCACCTTCACTGAACACAGATTCAGGCACTGCAACAGCTCCCACATAACAGTTTCCCTTATCCGACCTAAAACCAGACAAAGCATTTAGCTGACTACACGAATGTGAACAGTATGACTGCATCTCTCCTTACATTTGGTTCTGTATGTGCTGATGCCTATCATCACCTTCATGCTTTCCAGGCAGAAATACAAACCAGGCTTTCACTCCGTAATATTTGCAGTAAAAGTAGTAGACTGTAGTAATACTCGAGATCTATGAAGAATCAACTGGGATGCAACCAGATGTCTCTACACTGGCCTGGTCCAGGAGCATCACAAGCAGGACCATAGAGGGTGCAAGCAAAGCAAACCACTGCAGCACAAGTTTGGCCTGTAGCTGACTGTGGTATCTTCCCTGGAGCAGCTCAGAGCCATAGCAAGAGCATTGCCCTTACCAGAGAAGACAACTGAAGCCAAAGTACAATAACTTTTTGTGACCAATAGTGGCAGCACCCTTTCAATTAGTTTTCAACTTCAGTAATTCATATTCTCTGTAGGATACTATCAGAAAAAAGGACCTAAAGTTCCTGCACTTCTAAACTTGATCTTCACAATCAGCTGACACATCATTTACCCCATTATTCCAGTCTGCCCATCTTTTAAACTATAACAGAGGTAAGACTGTTAATTACACAGCTGACAATGTTTCACTCTAAGAGGCTTATAAAATATTAAAAGGGTCTTCCATAATCAATCAAAACATGTCTTTCAGACTTCTACCTACTCTTGTTCTGAAGACATGAATGTAGTAGAGAAACTACCACTTTCCACGGTAGCTCAGTGTGATGGCTACTTACATTCCTTGTTAAAATTAGTGCTTTATTTCCCACTTGTCTTGTTTTACTTCCAGCTACAAGGTCAGGGAGGGGGCGTCGTTTGTGTTTATGTCTTACTCCATTACTTTAGAAAAGATAACATCAGAATTCTAAGCTCTGAATGTAACTATTCCCATAATCAAATCAGTTCTCATTTTTCTTTTTCATGAGCTAACCACACTAACCTCCTTCAGATTCATTCTGCAAGAGCTGCTTCCCTTCAGAGCTGTATTTGCAGGCTTCTCCTGTTCCAAACTCTCAATGTCATTTTGAAAGGACTTCAGAACCACAAAAACATCTAAACTGATTTATGAAGAATGTATCCGTAAGACACACAGAGGTAAAGATCACATCCTCACTGCTATCCTCCTCTTACTCATTCAGAGTTTGGCTTGGCCGATACTACCTGAGGCATTCATGTTGATCCCCATGATCCCTTCCATCTCTTTAAAGTCACAAAGGGTGTATAGCACAATGCTTTTAACATTGCATTAGTGATCTGTTGCTGTTACTTTGCTTTTAAGTATCCTAAAGCAAATTGCCTGACGTGATCATGTATTAGGGAATCTGTATGGCTTTGAATTACTGCCCAGCTTTACTTACACTTTAAAGAAACCAAACATAACAACCGTTTTTCTTTGTATGCTAAATACCTTGTCAGTTCAATGGAAATACTGATTCTAATTCTACTGGAAAAATTGTCATGCTGTAGTATTTCACAATTCAGCTTCTGGAGTGGAAAAAACCCGAATCACTCAAAAAGAAATCCGCAGTTTATAGCTAAACCACGTGTTGGCAGATGAGCCAAAGCTTTTAGCATTGGAACCATCATATATTTTAACAGTAAGAGCTATTAAAAGCAGCCCTTACAACATTGCCCAAGCCCACCAACCAGTTAGTAGCTATACTTCTATTTTATCAGCATCAATATTAAACTGGATATTGAATATACTTTGCTCAATTCATGGTAGTTCCTTTACCCTGGTCCTCTTTCTGGCAGATCCACCTCTGCTGACAAGGGGCTGTAAACAGGAATACTGACATCATAGCCTTGCCGGTAAGTCCACGTGGAAAAGCCTCCACCAGCCAGCAGAGCTCTGGAAAAACACAAGAAAATGGCTTTAAACAGAGTACGCAGACCACTCAAACTCAGAGCATGATTTACTGATTCTCATTACCAGAACATCAGGAAGATGCATGCTCGGAGATAAGTTGTGACTTCAGTTTTTGTCAGCAGCGTGCTTTTCAATGCAGCTTTTTGGTTCGCTTGAGTTTTGATGGACTGGGCTTAGTGCCAGATTAGATCTAGTCATCAGGGGAATACTTATGATTGTGTATGATCACTCAGGAATGGACCATTTATTGAAGTCATTGTGATAACTTTGCATTTTTGCAAGCTTGTATGTCCCAAGTCAATTTTAATATAAAGAAATACACTGTCAATTATTTATACTAGTTAAAATACCCCTCGATGCCTGCACTAAAATAGGGTATACCTCAGCTCTCAAAGTGTCAGAGACAAGCTGTATTCCAGACATAAGTTCAGGTACAATAACAGTTTCAGTGACTCTGAAATTCTCAGGCTGGAAAAGAAAACGGAGTTATTTGCAACTGTATTTTCACAGGGATTATACAAACTAGTGAGAAATGCTATTCACAGAAAACATGACAATAAGAACTCTGCATGTTATGAAGCTAAATCCCAGCAGTAGAGACTGTTTTGGGACACTATGTGCCAGAAAGCATGGGAATCATCCAAGACCGATAAATTAAGATGTAATTCAACCTCCTAACAGGATGACCCTGATGGGACCTTTTCCTAGATGGGACAACCTTTTGCAACACAGAAGAGCTTTAAGAAACAGAAGAGAATAATGTGTATAGAATAAAGCAATACATCATTCACAATGCCAGAAAAATGGCTTGTTACTATCCCCTACCCCAAATCAGGCTTTGAAACACGCTAGTAGAGGACATCAGCTTTCCAGTTGTTATGTCATCCCCAGTGACCAGGTGGCACCACGAACACATCATCCTATTGCCAAAAGCTCAGATTCAGCTTCTTGAGTGAAACTTCTCAAACAGCTGATCAACCTTTCAGTCCTTTGTCACCAAACAGCAGGGTGTGTGATACTTCATATTGCCCCAGGGAGACTGGGTCTGCTTAAGGTACCATACAAAGTAGTTTGGAGAAAATGCTTCTCCAAATCATTTCTCTCCTTCACTGTGGAAGGAAGCAGAACACAAATACACCACTACAGTAGGCACACTGACAATCCATCAGCTGATATCCTTGTTTTCAGGTATCACTGAATGAAATCCTTAGTACAGTGTTTGGAGAAGCCGTTTTTCCACAGCTGTTACACAACAAATTATCATCATAGCTAATTATAATCCCATACCTATCATTTTTTCCCATTGGAACATCGACACCGGTATGTTCTGCCTAACTCCCATCAGATGTCCCATGGGATACTTCACTTCCTGCTCTGACCTACAGTACAGTTGTTCAGCATGCAAACACCACAAGCACACTTTGCCACAAATGTGACTTCACCTACATAGTCAAGCAAGCAGTCCTAAGTGTCATTTAAGAAGCCCTTTGAAAATCCCAGGCTCTGGATTAGAGGATCTGGATTAGAGATGCATTTCAGCCTGATGACAATTACAAAATCAGAACAACTTGCCCTTTTATTCCTCTTCACTCAGAACTCAAACTATAGGAGCAAGAGAAATCAACTTGAGAACGAGATGATAAATCAGCTATGCTGCTGAGTGAGAATTTATGTTCCAAATCAAGTGATTATATTGGATTCCTTCCCAGTGTCCCTTTGGGTGACATGTACAATGCTGCTATAACTAGCTCTCACCCTTGAAGCCACATGTTCCATGTCTTATCCACATTAACTCAGTTATAAGCAGGGAGAAAAAACTGTCTTGGGTGTTGCTGGTCTTGCACTTCATATCCCCCTCCTCCTTTTTTAACCCCTCCTAATTGGGAAACTACAACCAGATTGTTTTAATTGGATCCGGTGAAAACATGACAGCACCTCATCAGCCTTGAGAAAGCAGGTGTGTGTCATGCAGACTTTTACCTAAATAAACCCACAGGGAATCAACACCAGTTAAATAACTCCACTCAGATTTTCACTGTACTGTGCAGTAAGAGAGTAGAGACATTAACTCCTAATGTACTCAAGACAAATAACCTTTAAATTGCACCGATCAGCAAGAAATAAGCCTGGTCCTGAGCAGCTTTTTGCCACTTTTCAGGTATTGATCCTTCTTTCTCTCTCTGCAGGAAGTGTCCCAACTGGCCTCTGCAGTAAATGTTGCTACCCAGCTGCCATCACCATGAGCTTTCTGCCAAACTTCACAAGTCACTGAAACCCAATTCATCAACTGAAGCAGAACAAAAACTTACCTTAGCTCATATGTTCAATTCTACAGCGACCGAGTGGCTTTGCAAAAGAAATCCTTTCATCCTCATAAGTGTACCAAATTCAACAGTACTTATTAACAAATAATAAAGAGCTCATTTTTTAAGTTTTATGGCAGGAGATTACATATGTTCTGGCACCTAATACCAGCAACGCAGCTTCCATGCCCACAAGGCAGATTTCCATCTTTGAAATTATGGAATGAAATGCTTTTACACTGTCTTTGGAAATTGGATTTAAAGATTTAATAAACAAACAACCCCTCAGCGAGGTAACTTTTTAGCTAAAGACTTTTCCAGATGTAAAAATACAACTGAATTCCCCTTTGTGTATAAAGTCTTGTTTTACCTGGAATTAATATTCTGCAGCAAATCAACAGAACACAACTCTATCAAACCTCTTGATTCACTCCTGTTCAGCTATGTATGACCTTTGATATGTGCCAAATAGGGAAGAAAGGCCATGCTCCCTATGCAAACTTCACAAATGTTACCTGTGTATTTCATGAGTGATGCACAAAATCCCACAAATACAGTCTTTCTGGAATTGTACTGATGCAGTTCAGACCACTCATTCACAACCAAGTGACCTTTGCCAATGTACCTTCATCTTGGCCCGCAGCCTCTCACCCTGTGATGCTACAAACAACTGTGATGCTACACCACTTTGTTAACTACCCATTCTGTAAGTGTAGACATTCCCAAATTAAAACACACACACACAGGTTGCTTGTTCTGTTAGACACGAACTAAGAACTCCAGAGTTCTCCAAAATCATACCATAACCTCATGCACCATCAGTTCCCTGTAGTACAGGTTCTGCACTATACTGAATACAGTCTAACTGTTGGCTGCCTACAAAAAGGAGTTTCCACATTTTCTCCATCCCAAGCACTGTTATTGCCTCTCTTATGTGTTATAGCTAGCGATCATACAGCTGCAGGGTGAGTCAGTTTGGCAAGCTATGACAACAGCTGCATGCCAAAATAGATTTGGGTGTTTTATTCCAATTACTTTACTTTCCATGTTAGCACAACAAACTCTTAGAACAAACACCTACCAAAATGATACACTTCCTGCATACTAAGCCAAGTCACGTAAGACCAAATATGAATGGACATCTGACATAGAAAAAGAAGTTTAAAAAAACCCAAGTTGTACAGTGTTAGAACTCTACTGCATCTAATTAATGAATCTATTTCTTCAATAGACATGTGCATCTGCAAATACACAGTCTCAGAGCTGTATACTCCAATAAGCAGAGCATCATTAAGTGAAAATTCCCCTTAAGAAGTATAAATCTTAAGATAACACATGCAAGTATTTACTAAGAGATAACAGGTTTGGTTATGTAGGAATGATGCTTTACTGCCCTCTTCAGGCTAAACCACATGAAAGTAACACAATTTCATGCAGAGAAGTAAAAACCTACAGCCTTGCTTCACAGTCAGTGATGTAATTACAATAAGTAAACTTACTCTTTGAACATATCCTGAAAAAACATGTTCTGTTCTGGCACTGAAGGATGTTTTAAATCACCTTTGGTGCAAATGAATCAAGATATACTCCATACACAATGATCTTAGCAAAGATCTCATGTCAGGCAAGATTTTGTTGACGTTTGGCAGAAGAAAGTTAACCTTGACCTTCAAGAGAGGGACTGGTTACAGGGGACCTAATGCAGCAGAACTAAGCACATACAGGCTAATCCAGTAGAAACATTCAGTAATGGTGTCTAAACTAAACACATTTGTCTTACTGTTATTCCAGTTTTATTTGCCTTACAACCTCTTTTCCTCTTCCAAAAGGAAACTATTCTGGAAGGGAAAACTGAGCTCAGGATTCGTGCCTTTTAAGTTTCAGGAAAATAAAATATTTTCATAACACACTTGCCAGAGAATAACTAAGAGCATTTATTCGATTACTAACACAGTGTAGTTGTTAAGACAATAAAACCAACTGAAATTCACCACAGTTCTATGAAGCAGAGCAGCTGCTTTAAAAAGCCCTTGAAGACTTGTGTCAGAAAGCTGCAGTTACAATCATTTTTTAACTTCTAATTTGCATCAAATGGGACACTGTGTAAAGCATTCAGCTTTAGTAACATACAATATATATGTCTAACCTCAAGATTCTCCATCCTTACAGCAAGCCCAACAGTTAAGAGTAAATGCTGTCAGCTACGTCCCATATAAAATTAAGGATGGGCCTAAACCATCAGATTTCAGGAGCAAACAGAAGTCCTACAGAAGACAAGGACTTCTCTACGCCCTTTTTTTGAGAAGGAAGTCATATTCCAGCTTTGTAAAGGTTAAGGAGCACATCCTTTGTCATGAGATGCACTTCTGAGCATCAGCTTCTGTACTTCTGTTTCTTCACTGGCATTTTTAAATGTCTGTGCATTCAAACACAACAAAACTCATACCTATCTCTAGGAACATCTAGGGCAGTGTTATAATCTGGTGGCCCTCCAGGCAGCATATTGAAGAGCAAGTGGTTTGTGCCTCGATCCCACCTAAAGCAAAAGAAGAAACAGACAGCAATTAGAAAGGTATTCTCCACATAGAGATGGTAAGTTCTGTGAAAGCCTAGCTCTGGCATTGACTCACTGCATCCTCCCCTCCTGCATTAACCTTAGTTTTCTCCACTTTGTGTTCTTTAAATTCACACACTGACATTTCAGGAAATACCTGGATAACTGTGCCAAAGCCTGAGCTGTCTCCTTGATACGGAGTGCGTTCTGATTAAGGACATCTATGGATGGCACAAAAAGGCAGGCGCGGTTTACATCATCAGTGTAGAATTCACTGTCAGAGATGGCAGTCAGCAGCTCATTGTATTCCCTGGAAATGGTGTTGCTCACCGAGGTCCCGTATTCATCCACATACTTCTTCAGTGAGTAGATGTATACCTTGATTTTGTTTTTGGGATTGAAGCCACAGCGATAGACATCGAAGCAGGTATGCATCCTGCAGCTGAGGTCTCCCCGCTCAGGAATGGGGCTGTCAGCAGGAAGCTTGACCACAGGCACATCATGGACACTGCGTTTTTCAACAGTCCAGTCATTGGATGACTCAATGGAGTGAGGCCAGAACTGGAATATTCCTGTGGCAATTAGGCCAAGCAGAACTATGGAGAAGAGCGTGATGTAGTAGATGCGATGCTTGGTTTTCATCCTCGGGATGAGGGCTGGACCCCGGGTGTTGTATTTGGCTGAGGCACACATAATGGAATCAATTATCTCTTGTCTCTACAAAACAGAGAGAGAGGTTTTAGGATCTTCAAATGCTCATATGTCCCTCTGGAACATAAGATGCCAATTGGGGCTGGTACCTGGCAAGGACAACAGGAGGCTGATGTGCTGGGTCTGGCTGCAATGGAATGACAGAAGGCCAGGTTGGACGAAGCCTTAGGTGAGATGGTTTAGTGGGAGGTGTCCCTGCCCATGGCAGGGGGGTTGGAACTGGATGACCTTAAGGTCCTTTCCAACCCTAATTATTCTATGATTCTATGTTGGCTAGTTAACAAGCACAGACATAAAAGAACATGGCTTGGTCAGTGAGGGGAGGAAGAAATCCCAGACACTACAGAAGTGGTAAGTCCGTGTAGGTACCACTCCACCTACATCTAAGTGAATTCATGATGAATAGATGAAAAAATTCATGGTAAAACAATAAACTGCTCATCTTAACCTGGATACGCCACAAACGGCTTATAATGGGGCATCACAGAGGACTTAGAATCAGAACACTGCTCCCAGTGTAAAGTTGCTTTCAAAATGAATTTTGCAGGAGCCCCACCATATCCAGCTAGACTGATGCCACTCTTCTGTCAAGAAAAGGCAATTTTTCATCTTTTACACACAGAGTTGTGGTTCAAGCAAGAGGCAATTTATATTAACTACAGACTGAAGAATCAGCTACTTGTTGCATGCAAAAACCTGTTTAGGTTTTCAGCTAAAGCTTCCATACTAAATAGATCCAACCTGAACTCTCCACAGTGGCAGCTTTTTAAAGGTAGTAAGCATGTTTTTTTTCCTGAAAAAGAAGGTGGATGGTATAATGATGTGTTTTCCTTTTGGACAAATGGGATGTTTTCTTGCTTTGTGATAAAGAAAGAAATTCTGACAGTCAACTGTGCAGTAGACAACAAATATGAATAAAAGAAGAATTAATACGGCATTAAATGATCTCTGCAATGAACTGGGTTATGGTTATTGGCAGTGCTCAACAAAAGACTGGGTTGGGTGGGTAATGCATGAAATAACTGCACTTACAGCAGCACAAAAACAATCCCAGATGCTAACAGATATTCCACTTTTAACAGCTGCTTTCATCAATTTATATTCACATTCTGATTCTGGAGACAGCTTTTAAAACCTACTGTACAGGACTATACACGTACAATGCTGTTAGCGTGACAGATATCAGGATCACAGAATCCCAGACTCGTTTGTGCTGGAAAGGACCTTAAGATCATCCAGTTCCAACCCCTGCCATGGGCAGGACCATCTTCCACTAGAGCAGCTTGCTCCAAGCCCCGTCCAGCCTGGCCTTGAACACTGCCAGGGATGGAGCATTCACCACTTCTCTGGGCACCCTGTGCCAGCGCCTCAGCACCCTCTAGACAGATTCAATGCTTCATTACTATCAGTTTTATAACTAAAAGCTGTCCATACACCTCTGACTATTAACCACATTATTCCTCCTTCCTGACAGAGCACCAGAACCACCTGTATGATGACAAACCTTCCACACTGGCAGCAAGCACTTCAGTCACTCAGCAAAGCTGTATAGCCCTAAGCCTGGAGGGGGGGAAAACCTCAATGGAACATAACTCTCCACCCCTGGAAACGTTTAACCACCGTCACACAGCACACAATCCGCTCGGGTCACCTGCGGGCACAGGACAAGCATCCGGAGTACCGGAACAAACAGGGACAGGACACAGCAGCCAAAGGAGGTGGGCAAACCGCTACGGGACGAACCTGACGCGGTGAGTGACAGCACCGCAGGGCGCACACCGCCGCCCGAACACAACCGGCGGCAGCCAGGCCCTTGCCCGCCGGGAAGCGGCAACAGACACGGCCCGCCCGGGGACACCGGGCCCCGCACGGCGCAGGGCCAGGGCCGCTCCCCTCCGCCGCCCAGACTCACCTCCACCCGCGCCGCCAGCTCGGTCGCGGCCGCTCGCAGCGGGGCTCACCCGGCACCGGCAGCTGGTCCCCGCCGCCTCCGGGCCTGGCAGCGCGGATTGCGCATGCGCGGAGCCCGCCGGGCAGCGCCGCCGCCACCCATCGGCGCAGCCCGGCGAAGGGCGCCACCGTGCGGCGGGAGGGCGGAGCGGCAAGGGGGGGGGTCAGGGGGAAGGAGGGGGTGAAGGGCGTCCTCCCCTCAGCTCCCTTTGGATTTCGTGGGGCTTCCAACCTCTTTTAGCGGGATAAAACCAGCATTTTCAAAGGTAAGCACTTGTGTGCCTGGTCCTCCCGCACCTCATGTTCCTGCCACCACAGCTACGGCTGCTACACCCATACAACCCACCACAGGAGCGGGCTGCTCAGCCTGGCTCCCCTGGAACCTGCTTCACACCCAAAGCAGCTTTCCTGCCTGCTGGGGACTTCGTTTCCTTCTAACACTGCACCGGATTTAGCCCCACGCTAAAGCCTGGACGTGGGATCTGGGAAAGCCTCTTCCCACTGCAGGGATGCTCTCAAGTGAGGAAGGGTGCTGGGACAGTGCTGGTGCTCAAAACTGGTACCGATAAGATGCCACTGCCCTGGTTTTCCACACATTTACATTCCTGGCTCGTTTTCTTCCAGTCCTGTGGAAGTTTCTTCCAGAACTATGGAAACTTGCTCAGGGCAGCTGTGGCTGCCCCATCCCTGGCAGAATTCAAGGCCAGGTTGGACACAGGGGCTTGGAGCAACCTGCTCTAGTGGAAGGTGTCCCTGCCTGTGGCAGGGGTTGGGAGTGGATGAGCTTTAAGGTCCCTTCCAACCCAAACCATTCTGTGATTCTGTGACTCTATTTTAGGCTTTCTCATTGATGAAGGGTTTTGGGGCCTTGTTTCACTTTCCAACCTGCTGCAGGGAGGAAAAAACCCAAACCCACACCTTTCCCAAACCCTTCTCAAGAGGAACTGGAACCAGTCCCTCTCCTGACAGGAGGCAAAGCAGGACAAATTGGTTGCACAAAACCCCAGCTAAATGGTAATCACAGACACTGGTTTCAGTCCCAGAAATGGGAGCTGACTTGGTCTGCAGGCAAACTGACCCTTTCCAAACAAACAAGCAGGAGGTAAGATGCTGCAGGGGAACCGTGCTGCTGCAGTGGTGCAGTGGGGATGTTTCAGCAGTAGCAGTGCTGTGTCCCTGTATGTGGCATCATGTTCTTTATCTTTCTCTGCTCCCTAAGCTGAAAGCAGCAGCCCCTGACCATGTTCAGTGCCACTGAATGTGAAACAAGGATGACTTCACATCTCCTCCCTGGAAACAGTTCTCATCTCTTTACTGTCTCTCCTCTCTATCAGTCTGAGCATGGATACGTCTGTTTGAGGAGCTAGTCCTCTCTTTTGCAGAGCCACAGGTCTCCAGTGAGCATCACAACAGCCACAGAGCTACCAGAGCTCAGTGACACCCTGCCATGCTAACATCTCCTGCTGCAGCCCCTTCAGTCACCTGGTCCAGAAGCATCTCTGATCCTGTAATCCTTGGTTGTTTAGAACACTCTGAGCACATGTATCCTAAAGTGTCAGCTTTTGCTGGCCTGAAACGTGTTCCCCCCTTCAATTTTTGATGTATCAATTTTTATGTATTTAAATCTCATATACATTGGGGAGGTGATGGTGTACTATTGTGTCTGTTTGTGAAAGGATGTGTGATTTGTACATACCCCTGCTCTAAAACTCTAACATGAGTCTCTCAGAGCACAGTGTCCTCAAGCAGTGTTGCCTGTCAGCAATGGGTTAGTTCTCTCTCCCTTCACCTGCCCTCGGGAAAACCACTTTCTGCAAAGCCATCCACATGCACACACAGAGGCATCTCGGTACTCCAGCAAGAAAGGAGAAATGCTGTCACTGCAGTGCTTTGTGTGCTTTCTCCCAACCTCTTCTCAAACACGTTGCATAGCAGGTGATGTAGCACTCTCCTTAGACTCACTGCTGCCTCCTTCGTACTGCCCGTGACATTCAAAGCTGTTACAGAAAGGACTCAAAGATCTTAAAGCATCCTTTCTGAGCACTGATACTGGCTTTTTCCCCCATGCTGGTGCAAGTTACTAGCTCTTGTTAGAGCACTTAATGCTTTTAATATGATGGTTTTAAAACATCAGCTTGAAATTGCTGTGAGCTGCCCCATTCATAAATCAGAGGCATGAGCTCTCCTTCCGGAGGGTGAATGGACCATGTCTGATTTTATGAATCAGAAGGGGCAGCATTCATGTGCTGGGGCTGCTGGGACAAGAACTGCATCTCTGCATCTCAGCATGAGCTATGCCTGGGTGTGACTGATCCAGGGAGGGGGGACCACAGCCCTGTTTTGTAATGGGGACATCAGCAGGTCCATGTGTGGCCAGAGTGGTTGGGGAACACCAAGCACAGCCCATGCAGTGCTGACAGGCACTTCCCCTGCCTCCCTGCTCTGCCAGGGAGAAGAAAGTGCATCAAATCAATGGCAGCTGAAATATTCATTGAGGCTTGATGATGATTTCATCCCTGTAGGAAAACTGGGAAAGCAATGCAATTATATTAAAAGCTAGGACTAAAAGAAATGCAAGCAGTATCAGCTATTTTCTTTTTAAAATAGCAAGAAAAATGGAGGATGCAGTCTGGTTTGATAGAGAGTTCCCTGAAACGACACCAGGGAGCCTGTTTATATTCTAGTGATGTAGCTAAGCCAGACAAGTCTGCAGCACAGTGTCTATTTTTAGACTCCTGGTTGCCATTTATAGCTTGTAAAAATATTCATCAGCATCTGGATAACGGGCTATCAATTTTTATAAATGCACAAGAGAAATGAGATGTTTCACCTCTCTTTTCTTTAACCTTTTACGTCCTGCCTTTTATGACTCTTTGGGATCACCTGGGAATTCGTCTTTAAGGGCTTTACCATCACACCGTACATTTGCCTGCTGTCACATCCAACACCGTGTATTTTATGCTGGGGTAATCAGTATATAGAAGAGAAAGGAATGCTCTGAGAGCCTCCTGCCTTATGCAGTCAGTGCTGGAAGCAGCACATTCTGGAAACACGTTTATAATAAAAGGAGATCATCGTGGAAGTCAAACATGGAGGGGAAAACTAATGGCTTGGGGACATCTTTTCCACCTTATTTTCAACCTATGGCATAGCATAACTACAAAATCATAGCTCAGGGTTTTTCTTCTGAGAAATTTGTTAATGGCTACTACCAATATATAAAGTAGTGGACTAAAGGAAAGAGTTTCTAGTATAAGAGGAAATAAGATACTGCAACAGCCAGGTCATTGCCTTGGTTCACTCTTTTGGTTTATGTCTTACACCCAGATGATACCCTCGTTTGTATCAGTTGAGTTTATAATTAGTCTGATTAATAAACTGTATCTAGCAGCCAACTGCATGGTTTTACCTCTAGAGTCAGTCCATCATACACCTCCAGTGCTGCTGGTTTGTGACTGATAGTGCTGGTCAACACAATCTCTGTCTGATGCCTGTAACTCTGTCCTCTACTGCCTTCCTGAATTGAAAGGAGAAAGAAGTGTAAGTATACTTTGGAGGAGGTGAGAAATGAGGAGATTCAATTAGGCAAGCATTCCCTTCAAAGAAGCTATAATGCGGCAGAAACATGCAGGTAGAAACACTCTGTCAGTGTGCATCGCCCCCCTCCCTAAAGCTTTCAGCTGTCACGGTTTGCAGATGCATTAATCTTTAATCAATTGGCTGCTTTCTGCAGCAAAGTATTCAGGGAGAGAACAGGTCATGACAAGCATTCTCCTAGAATAACTAAGCGCTCGAGCATGAGCTGTGCCATCAGACCTTGCTGGATAGCAGCAGGGAATAGACAGCTAAAAATAGCCTTTCCTTGCAGTGTTTTTCCAGACTATTTTTGATTCCCCGTTTTGATAAGGTCGACTGGCTATTTGCTAAAAATAACTGATCCCGGCAAACTGAGGACAAAAAGTAGAGTATTTATAACCATCTCAGACTCTTCAGTACATTTGTCAGCTGCAGATAATGCAGGATCCTGTCAACAGGGAGTGCTTTATGTAAGTCACTAATAAAATGAACATTAATTGGAATGAAGAAATGAGTGTATGTTGCCACTCTGATTTTCTCAGGTGGAATACATACCTCTTTGTATACATATATACTTGTAGATTACCTTGCCCTGCTCTTCATGATTCAGAAAGAACCAAAGCAATCCCATTAGGTCAGCCGATCTTACAAAAATAGCTGCATATGCAATATGCAATTAAAAGTGGACATGCAATATGCAATTAAAAGTGGACATGCAATATGCAATTAAAAGTGCAAAGCAGCTTTACCCTTTGGATACTTCAGATGCAGACATTTTCGGGGGGGGGGGGGAATGATTCGTGTAGCTTCCTCTATGAGAAGGTTTTTTACCCTTGTGTGCCACCATCTCGCTGAGGAAATGAAATCACCGCTCTGCCAGCAGCATGAGAGCAACAGAGGGATTCTGTAACCAAGTAACTGCAGGAGGGCTGCAGAGAAATTGTCAATACACGTGATAATTTGACCCCAAGGCAGGTTTGAAGTAACTGGGTGGTTATGGGGATGGGGGGAGCACACACAAGTCAGCCCAGCTACATACTCTGTTGCATACATTCTAACAGAGAAAGATAACAATTAAAGTATTAGCATTTATTTAGAAAAGAAGATATCTATCATACAGTACATTTGAGCAGCTGCCCTTCTTCATTGAAGGTAGGGAACTATTAAGCTAATAGTGAGCATTTGTCCTTATGGATATTTTGCTCAGGATATATTCAGTTTCCTTAAGGGAAAACTCATCTTTACAGATCTATTCCTTAAGCATGCATGATCCTTCAGAAATATTTAGCTAGAATGGGCTCCACCTATGCTGTTCACTTAACTGCAATGTAAGACAGGTTAATAATACGGAGATTCACAGATTCTCCCCTCCCACACGGACACATCAAGGATAGACCTGAAATGTATGTTAGGGAAGTGTCTATGACCAAGGGCATTGCTGTACTGGAAATTCCCATCTCTAACTTAAAAATGCTGAACATTTCCTTGAAATAGAGAAAGAAGGGGGCGGAGCAGAAGGAAAACAGAGACTGGAACATGGCAAGGACCATGAAACCCTTTAGGATCCTCTCTGTGCTCAAACGAATGATAACCTGAACACAAAAATTGTATGCCAAGTGGCTTTTATCATCTTATTTAATTACAATGGACACAAGCAGTGAAGGCACAGTGTTAGATTCATCTTGTTGGCATTTCTTATTTGAAATGAAATGCAGCAGGCTTTAAAAATACAGATCTGACTGGCTTAATCATTTCAGGTATGTTTGCCTACTGCTTGACAAAAAAAAAGAGAAGAAATGGGGGGGGACGACAACAGACACAGTCCTTAGTCATTTCTCTATCTTTTTTCCTGTAGAGATTTGCCACAGAGAATAAAAGGCCATTCATAATAATGATGAGAAACAGTGAGCAGAGAGAATATCTTAACATGGAGGTAGCAGAAGGAACAAACAATTTGTACAGACAGAGCCTGTGTATTCTTTTCTGTCAGGGTACTTACAGCAAATAAGAGCAGATTTAACTTCTATATACATACACACAGGACTTTCTGAATGTTTTCCAATTCATTTCAACCAATAAAGCCACCCAGGATTTATGGGGTTTCAAAATGAATGTTGCTTATTCCAACAGCAGACTCATAACACATTTCTCTCCAGCATCATTTCCAGTTGGATTTTGAGTTTCTGTGACCAGGCTGACATTCCCCAGTGGAGAGCTCCTCAGGCAGGTGTTAAACCTGAAAAAACACCCATGGAAAAAATTCCATGCAAAAGTGTGTGTCTGTCTGGTTATTCTGAGTTATAGCAATATCATATGACTGTGGGCCATAGGATATTAGCTGTGAGGATTTTTAGTGTCTTAAACCCTTTCCTACAAAGAGGTGTGCTTTACTAGCTGCTTTCACACAGAGATGGGTGAAAAACATATTATACTAATTGTTACTCTTGTGTAATTACATACTCCAATCATAGGAGTGACCAGCAGAAAAGAAAATGAGGAGTAATTAATGGGTTGAGTTAGTTATAGGAATTCCCTGAAATACCACTTCAACTAATGCCTATAGAGTCTTAACCTGGTTCTTCATTTCACAGAGCTTTCTCCCCGAATTTCTGTTGCTCAGACCCCTTTGGATACATAAGTGAGGGCAAACCAGTATGTCCATTGGTGTTTTAGCTGTACATCTCACCTCTCATTCTATTAAGGAGACCTGTCTTGTGCTATAGCTTTCTTTGTGAATACCCAAGAGCAAATGGAAAATAAAGTATAATAAAATCATAGAATGGGTTGGATTGGAAAGGACCACACAGCTCATCCAGTTCCAATCCTCTGCAGTGGCAGGGACACCTTCCACTGCAGCAGGTTGCTCAAGGCCCCGTCCAAAAATGAATGTATTTAAAAATATTGTGCATTAACAAACGCCAAACTAATAAGCAAACATGATGCTTATAACTATTGCTTGTACTCATCTTCCCAATCACCAGCTTTGCCTCATTGCTGGCATCCAAGAGAGGGACCAGTTACATGCAGCGCCATCTTCTCCTCAGCCACTGGTCAGACTCCATTTCTGTCCAGGCAA